TTTTAAAAAAAAAAAAAAAAAAAAAAAAAAAAAACAATTTAGTATTAATGCTCTAACTTACAGTGTTCCTGAATTATGGTAATTTAATAAAATTTTATTAAACTATATAAAGTTAAACGAAAAAAAAATGTAAATAGTTAAAAAAAGTTTAGAAAAAAAAGATTTAAATCAAAATGTGCGGATAAATTTAATTAAATTACGTAAATTTAGATTTAAAAAATTTTAATCAAAAAAAAAAATACTCTACTTAACGCATTACTTTACAATGCTTCTGAAGGAGAGGTCACATGATGGGATTACTGTTGGCACCGAAAAAATTCATCACAGAAATCGGCAAGAACAACATTCCTGGGGTTACTGATTTGCTTCAACTGCTAGTCCCAGAAAGTAAATAAATATAATCAAAATAAAAATCAGAAAATATACAAAATCAAAAAACAGATCAAAAATAAACCGAAAAAAATAGATAAATCACATGAATTCAGATTCAAAAAAAATTTAGATCAAAAAATACTACTTTATCGAAATCGACAAGAACAACATCCTTGGGGTTACTGATTTGCTCCAGCTGCTAGTCCCAAAAAATAAATAAATACACAAATATAATTAAAACACAGATCAAAAAAAAAACAAATAAATAAACTGAAAAAATATAGTTAAATTACCCAAATTTAGATTTAAAAAACTGAGATCAAAGAAAACATCGAAATTTTAGCCCAAAGATACCGATTTCTTCCAACCGTTAGTTCTTAAAAAATAAATAAATAAATAAGTAAATACAATCAAAATATGGATCTAGAAAATACGTACATAAATTGGAAAAAAAGACAGATAAATTAAACAAATACAGCCAAGAAAATTCAAATCAAAATGTAGCAATAAATTTTATTTTAAAGTAAAAATAATTAAAAATCAAAATATAGACAGATATTGAGGTAACAGAAATCATAAAAAGGTAGAACTTATCTAAAATCAAGACTCTTTTAAAATTAGGAGCCAAAATTGTTTTTTTTTCTAACCTCAAATATCCGGGCATAATCCGTGAGCACTCGATCATCGATCGATAATCTCGAAAAGTGGACCAGTCCACCTGTGAGCTGCCCAGAATGTATTGCCTGGTTTTGGATAACATATTGATATATTTGCCGAACGAGGAATCCAGACGATTGGCAATGTCCCGAAGCAATGATGCATTCAGTGTAACTTGTTTGAATTTCATACCATCAATTATCGACTAAATTATGGCGCATTATTGCAAAATTGCAAAAAAAAAGGGATTCTTCAATTTGGAACGGCCATATGGAATTATGTGAATAAAAAAGTTTGGGACTGAGAAGGATGGAGAAGTTGTCAGCTGCATCAACGGCGAGAAGAAACGCAACTATGAGACTAAAGTTGATCAAACTGTCAAAATAAATTAGCATTAATATCAAAAAAAAGTCTGAAAACTTTGGGATTAGGTCCAAAATGAATTTGGCAAGCAAATAAGGTGAATGCTTATCATCCATGGCTTGCATTTGCTGCATGAATATATTCAACTCGCTTTCCAGAATAACTAATAAAATGAACTAGAGAGAATCAGACAGTACAAATAGGAATTTCATTTTTGAAAGAAGGTGAATTTACCAGACAGGGAGGTGGCAGATCAGCAGAAAAATTTCTGTAAAAAAAAATACTAATAAAGTGGGAAGGAAGAAAATACAACAAGAAGAATTAATTGAAAAATCCATAAAAGAAAAAAGTTATTTTATTGGAAAAGAAAGAGAAATTTAAGTTTCTACGAAAAAAAAAGACAATTAAATGGGCAGAAAATACAAGGAAAATAACTGAAAAATACGTAAAAGAAGAAAGTTATTTTATTGGAAAAGAGAGGGAAATTCTTTTTCTCATTATGTTAGGAAAATGAATCTATTACTCGAACAAAAACGGAACGAAAACTTAGCAAGTCTAAGCAAAAAGAACCTTTTTATCTGTTACGTTAACATGCTCCTGGCTTATTTTGTAGCGAATAACTCGCGAAAAGCCGGCCCAGAAGAAACCGTCACAAAGAAAACTGCACACTGCCTATGGAAAGAAGCCAAGCGAAAGGTGTATTTTGCCTTGAAAAGCAAACGAACACTGATGTGCCGGGCTGATTCGGTAGTATAAAAGTCGGTGGTGTAGTGGGTAACAGACTGCGTCCGGACGTAAGGGAGGGTGGTTCGATTCCTTCCTGGTCCACGACAATTTTTGACAAGGAGCTCCATTCACGACGTATTTTAGGAGTCACATAAGCCATTTTTTTCCGTGCGAATAAGGAATTTTGCGGGCAAATAAAGTTACTTTTCCTTAGCAAATAAGCTCATGAGTACGCCGAAAATAATAAGATACCTGCATAACGGGAACACCAAGCAATTCGTTGACCTGTGCTCGATGGGCTCTGTACAGTTGGTCGGCCGTGAAATGCGCAGCCAGGGTGAGGTAATTTTCGCGGACAATATCCTCTCGTGGATAGTACATCCCGGATGCAACAACGAATGCTTGAACAATTAGTCCCCAGTAGAGTGACATCGTTTCCATGCCGAATACCGATTGAATTACCAGTCAAATAATCTACACCAGTGTAAATACCGCATCAGCAAAATATACCTCAGTTTTTTCCTCATTTTTTTTCGTTTACTGAAAATTGAGGTAACCAATTAGTAAAGATATGAGGCATTTTTTTTTAAAAAAATTTTTTTTAAAAATTTTTAAAAAATTTGAAAATTATAATAATTCTTTTCCATTTTCCCTCATTCCTTTTTTCTTTTTCTTTCTTTCTTTAAATTACTTTCCCTTTAACTACTACTAAGTTCCAAAATCAAAATATGATAACACTTGGAACAATTGTTAATTCATGATCTGGTTCTCCAAATACAGAGGTTGAAATTTGCCCGACTACTTTGACCAATGTGCTTCACTGCCTGATGGTCAGCCTGCTGGCGATTCTGACATTCGTCCCTTCTCCAGAGATTACCAGCTTAACATTTCTTTTGACAAAAGCATTCGACAAGAC